TCCATATCACTCAGCATATTTAGAAATATAGTAAAGCGTCATAGCACTGTTGTAGGAGAGTTGGAATAAGAAATATTGCTTCACAAATTAGGATTTATAATGATACACTCGACGATTCCCGCTAACATATCTGAAACGAGTGCAACTTTTGCTCTTTACACTACTCTGATCACTACTTTATTGAGAAATGCACAGTGCAAAGAACGCTTTCCAAATTGCAAAGCCACTGCACGTTATCGTATGGTTTGTGCTTACTTTGCATTACTAGACTGTATTATTATTGCATTGCATCACGGATAATCAGTGAATACTATTATTAACTCTTAGAACGTACTCAACAAAAAAATTACTGTTTTATATGCAGAGATTGGTCCACAGTCGGTCTCGGGAATTTTCCTAGAATCATTTTTTCTGAATAAGTTACTGTTGCTATCGTATTCCTTTTCCAAAATTTGGTTTCCGAGTCATCCTGTACTGCAGAGCGAAATTCTGAACGGCAGAAAGATTTTCATGTTCTCCATTAGCAAAATGTTAGAATCGCTTTGAAACGGTTTCGCGCATTTCATTCTGTTCTGATGATCAGAAATGTTCGCTCTCAAGCACTAATTTGAGCGAGATATATTTGATTACTGTCAATAACAGGAGAAGCTGTCAGTCAAATTGACAGTGATTACGAAACAGAAATCTTTCGGACTTCTCATAGGATTAATTACGCCATTGAGAAATAAGATAGATTATTGAAAATTCTAGTAGTTACAAAAATGGATTGCGACTTCCCTCTATGAATTGTACAGTGGAAAAATTTATTTTGTGCCTTGTCATCGCGAGGAACGGGGAGAAATTGAAGTCGTTTCATAAACATCCACCTTGTTGAGAAACTAGAAACGTTTGCAAAGGTGGGGAAGTAAGCCTCTGCTTAGATACACCTTGTTGGTCTTCTTAACGACGTCAATTTTCTTCCGTATGATTGCGAATTCCATGAAATTACGAGATTTTGTGCCTCAGCACAAAATTTAGCGCACTGATGCAAATATGCTTCTATTGAATCAATTTTAGTACAGTTTGCATCTTCCTTCCTCTTACTGGTAGTCTGTTGAGACAACCTCATTCCCGCTTGTTTCTAGATCCGTCAGTGAACTCTGTCAATCTTCTCGTTTCGGCTATTTTCGCCTTTGGGGTGAATAAACATATTTTGAGAGTCGGGTCAAAGGGACAGGCTAATGAAAGTGTTAAAGCTGAACAAAAACAATTTCTGATTTCTAGAAATTATTTGTCAGAAACCTTTGACAGTCGAAGTTGTGCTTCGTTTCCACCAGTCGATATTGCTCACACAATTTATCAAAGTAAACACTTTCAACGTCGGCGCTTCCTCGACGGCGTGTTTTTTATTGCTGGGAAAGTTGATTTTGTGTCGTTGCATCACGCGATGATGAGGATCAAATTGAAGACGTACGCCCTGAAAACTGGTACATTCATTTTAATTCTCTTTAACTGACTGACCTCATTCAACTCGACCATTCTTATTAGAAATTTGATACGCATTGACCTCACTAATCGATCACCTTGTGCATCAGGATAGTAGAATCTGCAGCAAAATTTTCTTAGTTTTCTTAGAACAATTTTACTTCATATCAAACAATTCGGAACCATAAAAATCTATTGCAGAACTAGGCGAAATTCATGCTCATCCATGTTTACGATGTTTTCTCAAATTTTAGCAAAAATCAAAATCCTCACAAGAATGGCGAGAAGCTGGACCGACCCTATTATAAGTTTGCTGCTGGTCACAATCTTGACAGTGTCTGGATGTGGAGTGCTGCCTGGAGGCCTAGGTAAAGAGCAAACATACAAGAATGCTATGACACTAATGATAATTCCACTCTGAATAGAAATTCATAAACGTTCTAATAGCACCTTGTATTTCTGTTTCTCATCAATACTTGACGATAATAATTTTGAAGTTTCTATGATAAAAGGATTCATTTTTGAAAAGGATGTTGAGTAGAAAGTTCCGACATAAGGATTTTCCTTCTAGTTATACGCTACGGAGATTACGAAATTTCGCTGCAGTGAGCACTAGAGACTGTAATGCCAACGACTTCAAAACTCTGCCTATCCTATGGTATACACTAACGACAGCAATGTTGCTTTTCGGTTCGGTTCCCCGACATATCAACTAGCAAGGAGCAAGCTCGCTCGTTTGTTGAGCGTGTAGTTAAGCATGCAGTGAGTTTGAAACTTTCAGTTTTTAATATATCCTGGCCAATTCCGAATTAGGTGAGGTGCTTTTTTTGAGAAGACTTTGGCCTCCTAGTGGTTCTGTAAATCTATCGCTTCCATAATTTCACCAAAAGCGCTCTCAAATAAACTCTACCAAGTAGTAAAAAAATTTGCCCTTTAGGTCATCCAAACTGTCAAACATCAGGGTCGTAGCTCTTTCCTACCTGATTCTTTAACCTACTTTATCCTGAGTCAGCTTACCGTTACGGTCAATTACGAGCCTTGGTTCTGTGCGAAAGCTGTTACTCTGGATGACAACAATAGTGAGTCCAGAATATTGTACAGTCAACTGAAGTATTTCAGGCAGAATTGCAATGAAAATCAACACAGATTGGCATGCAATGCAAAAATTATTATACAAATGAAAAGAACAAGCACAATCCAGGAAGTCGCTATAAAAGGTTCTGCAATATGAAAAATATATCATGGCACACTATCAATACCAATATCTGTGAACATGACTGGGTTCAATGTCGATGTTGGCTAGCCAGGCCAAACCGCTGACGGTTGGTTACTCACAGATAGATATGTTGTAGCTAGAGTGGTGGCAAATTAGGCGCCGGTAGTGCAACGGGTTAGAGCACTCGCTCCGTATAGGGTGGAATGCCGGCTCAATTCCCTGTTGACGCAAAGTTTTATGCATCACTCCACATCATTAATTATATATCATTCGATAAAAACAGAAAACTACAAGGTCAATGCTATTATATGAAGGAGTTATTGTCATATCTGTTCCTGAGTCGAAATGTCAGATGGATATTTGAGCAGGCTCTCAAAGAGTATATGGAATCGGTGTTCAAAAACATTTCCAACTCTTTCAGTTTTTACTGAAGTGACAGAAATCCTCTTCAGACTCAAAGTTTCTTGCAGCCAATGAGGACGAATACTACTGCGTCATTATCGGCAACACGTGGACGGGAGATTGCTTCCCTTTATACGACGACACACCCTGTGGAGATAGATCAAAGCATCATTACGTCCTCCTAGAAGCGGTCAAAGAAGAATCACAGGCCATATCACGGTTTGAAGACTTTCTTTTCGCACAGATTTACTTTGTATAGAGAGAGAAACTTATGTAGACCACAAACATCATTATGGCGAATTGGCCGACGGCAATGTGGCAGGGTTAGTGGACAGAGCGGTTCAAATGTTGGCATACGGCCCACTTGAACGACACTTCTTCTCGGCAACTGTGACTGTCCGCGAAAGTTATTAAACCGTGATTTGTTGAAGCAAATATTTCTTTTCAACTGTATTGATGCAATAATGCACCCACCAATAAAGTGATGAATTACATGTATATGGTTAGCCAGAGTAAAGCAATACACTGCTTTTTCACATTGAGATAATTTTCGACTCAGTCTTTTCTTTGACGGCCAACTGAAAAAGGTTTTGTTTTGACCTTTAATAGACTGTCGGAAATAATTTTGTCGTTTTACCTGAGAACGTGATGTTCACACACTGATACTGTGCGAATTTGAGCTCACCAGGAAGCTCGTTTTTTGTGCATCGCTCGGCATAACAATTGTGTACTCAGCCTTCAGAATGGAAATGTCCAAGCAAGAAAATTGTCTGCTGCTCCACTTCCATTACAAATTGAGTGCTACCGCTTTTGAGGCTCATAGACAAATCTGCAGGGCGTTATGGTGACAAAATTTGCGATATTCGTACAGCTCATTCCGCAAAGAAGGAAAGCGGTTGACCGACAATTGTCTTTATGTGGAAGAAGACTACTTCAACTATTGATTTGTCTTTCTTTGAGCTGAATTGGTGCACAAACAAATTTTCCTACGCATTTGAATATCCGACACCTTTTCTAAGATCGGTGAGATGAGAAGATGCTCTCATCCGCTGTCACTGATTACAGAAAATGTGTTTGAGAAGGATCACAGGTGTGAAAACAATTAAGCAACATGTTCGGAATGAATAGCTACAATGAAGAACATGAATATCAACTGAGAAGAGTAATTGTGAATGAACAAGAATCAAAAAGTTATAATAAAAAAAGTAAATAACTGAAAGAAATGTTAGGACGCTAATTCGCAAACGTTTGGCGTTTACGCTCTGAAAAATTTGTCGCGCATTTTACCGCATACGTAATATTACGAAGGTGAGCAAATGCATATTTGGCTTGTTTAACATCAAACTGATGAAGAGCGTGACTAAGTGATTGCAGCATTTCTGATATTCAATCCGCTTTTTCGTCCTCTTCTTGAACGTCGAGAATGATTGTTGAGCTCGTTTCCTTGCAATCTCCCGAATAGGCCTGACTGTGACATTCCGTGGGGGTAGTCGTCGTTGACTGTCGGAGAGTATTGGATGTGGTGTTTGGCCCACGCGGACCGAGACAAGCATCACGACTCCTCGGCCACAGTGCTATGGATTTGAGTGCTAAATCGTGAGAACAGTATTGGTGATTGACAAGAGGTCTTTTTATTTGACCGCTTCTAGCGATTACTATATGGCAAATACATATCCAAGACATGTTGATGATGTACAAAATTCGATGCACGGGAATCGAAGCCGCATCGTTCACTCTCCGGGGACGCGTGCTAACTAATTTCACCATGGCCGTCTGTTTTTGCTACCATTCTTTGTACGCTACACACATCAATTTATCAGCGGCCGACTGTCGACGGGGGCATGGAAAGCCACATCGGCGTTGATCGCAGTTCACGCTGGCAGATACTGGACTATATTATCACAAGAATTCTTATAAGGCGTCGGTAGTGCGGTTGGTTAGCACGCCCCTCATAAAGGGTGAAGAGCGGGTTCGATTCCCGCCTGACGTCAAAGTTTTGCACGTCTCTCAACATTATTAGATTTTATTCACTGATCATATTGCAAGTCATCTTCTATCAGTAAGCTATACGTGTTTCTTATGATTACTGTTTTCACGAATGTGTGGCTCCCAATCGCTTCTTGATCTCCGTCCGGCTGTCTTTAGTGGATGCGCTACGCATCGAATTCATCAAGCATCGTTAGGGATGACTGTGTGCATAGCTGCCTTCGTTGACTCGCAGTGGCCCTGCCTGTGTATCAGGCCAATGCTGCTATTGCTTCAAATAAATCTGCTCCTAAATCCTCAATTCTGGTATTATAAATTTTGTGGATTAACTTGGGAGCGAATCGACAAGAGATTATGAGCATGGCTTTCTTTTGACATCTTTGCATTCTCTGCGACTCCATAGTCACCGATCATTTAGAGTTGCGGTTTTCTTGCGACAGGTGGACTATCTTTGTAGCCTCCGATGAGATGAAGCCTCATATGCTAAGAAAGTCAATATATAATATAAATAAATAAATATAGTTAATATACATAGTAATATAAATATAAATAATATGCAAAGTCAATATCAAAGTACTATTTGAGAGAATCGAGTGGTAAGGAAAAATTCGACCTCAGATTGGAGATGAAGCTGCGTTTCACCTATACTGGTGGTCTGTGCATGGGATTGGACTAATATAAGTTGGTATTGAGTTGAAAAAGTGCAGATACGTCAATCTTGTCGTATTGCTGGATGACTCTGATGTTAAAACAACTAACCATATAAACTTTGACTCTGAATGAGTTCCATATATCATTTGTATTTGTTTCTAAGTCATAGCTTTTGCTGCATTGTAAAAGCAATTACGGTTCATATTCAAATGTGATCTTCATGTAACTCCAACGCTGACGTTTTTCCTCTACTTCCATTTTACATCTTATTCAATTAATGCATTATTGCAACGTCAGTGTCAAACCTAGAAGTTTTCCAAATGATCGCAAATATCATTTAATTTTGTTCATTGTTGAGGACATTTTCTAGTATGCGAAGAGCGCTTTTTACTTGTGTTGAGATGTGATCTACTTCAGTCGCTAGGTGGTTTTTAATGCTCAGTCAATTCGAAGGACACACTTTCTATTAACCTCGGCATCAAAGTCTATGTGTATATATATCATTGACTAAACTTTTTTATCCGACGTGAGTTTGGAATCGTGGTAGTAGTATCAGCAGTGGTAATAGTGCAGCTCGTTGATCGACGTTTCGGAAACCCTGCCTTTTTCAAAGCGTGGACGTACCCTCTTATCAATATTCGTATGAATCGGTGAAATGATGCCGTCCCATACGTCAAGTTAGGAAATCGAACTAGGAGATCAAAAGAGCTCTTCAAAAGGCAAACACATTTTTGAGTTTTTTGAAGCTTGTGCTATGGTCTGAGTATTAGCACGCCAAGAAGTTTTGTCCAGCGAAATGTAAGCGAGATAAGAGGAAAAAGTACGCGGTCTTATGAAACATGATTTTATTCTAAATGTTGCAGTATTATGAAGGGGTGTTTTGAAAAATGGCGATGTGCGGTTACAGTCTCAAGTCTCAGCATTCGAATGGTTACTGACACTTCTATGAAAAATTCTTTTCCAGCGGATGAGATCGATTTTTCATTCGTTCACTCCTAATCAGAAATAATATGCTATTTTATTTGAATTAGAAGTTGATTCGTCTGAGTATGCGATTCTCGTTGAAGATTTAATCGACGAAGTGTTGCAAAACAAAAATAGTACTTGTTTCAGATAGTGGGAATTATCCGCCTCGTAACATTACGAGTTCTGCCGGCAATATGGAGGAGTTTGACTGAGTGCATCGAGTGCACTTTTAGCCTTTCTAGGCTCTGAGGAGGGTGAGACCTTCCGAAACGCACATTTTTATATTATACCACTGTATTGCTGAACTGCAATATCATTTCCTCATTTTTTTTTCATTCACCTCATTTCTGCTAACAGGCAGCTCGGACTTCTACGAAGAGAGGTTGCCGGCGCGCTCTCTAATGCCTAGAGGGCTAGTTTTCTAAAGAAATTTTCACTTTCTTTCTCAATAAGTGGGATTTCTGAGTCAGTAAATGGTCAAATATGATAGAACAGACTTCAATAAAATTATTTTTTCATCAGAAATAATGTGATTGCTCCATTTATATTTTACACTTTTGAAGGAAAAACCAAGTATTGATGAAAAATCTAAATTTAGAGCCCTTATCAAACATTTCTATAATATTTTATTATACTTGCCTGTACAATTCAAGACAGGTTCGCCATCTTCAGTGCCTGGAAAGGTCAAATTGATAGGCAAATTATTAGAATAAAGGTCTCCATCACCCAAGCAGAAAACGTAAGGAACAAGTTTTTGGGACGCATAGGAAAAACCTGGGACATGGAGGCCTTTGGTCCAGTAATTTGCTCATCAATTGACCATTCCAGGCAGTGAAGATGGCGAACCTTGCCGAAACATAAACCACCACTACTGTTGTAATAATCATGCTGCATTATTAACTGTAATGTTATATGCTTCGCAGATCTTCAATAAATAGTATCAATAACACCTCGGAACGGCTAAACAGAAGAAAAATATCATTTATTTGAACTATGCCGAGGTTAATAGATAGTCGGTTTTTTGATCAAATGCTTGAATATTAAACAAAATCATATTTTGACTGTTACAGAGAAAGAAACATTCTCTTCAAAAAAAGGATATGTCATTCAAATTCACTTGATTTCAACTATTGACTGTCCAACAGTTTTAGAAAAAATACGCTTTTTACTGAAAGGCTCAAACCCGGTAGATAGAAGAAAAAGGACCGCATATTTCCATCTGTTTTCCTCATACCATAGTTACGAATAAGAATTCGAACAGCATCACTTACTGATCTAAGAGATGGGTACTCAAAGTGCCTTAATAGTCAGAAAAATATTGCAGGTTCCATCGATGTAGTGATATCGCATACACTAAGTAGACTACTTTTGACGAACTATTCATGTTTTCCAAATTCCAGCCGGTTATAACGACTTTTATGTACTTTATGTAATAAAGTATATAAGAGTGAGAAAAATATAAGATAAATTCCATTGAATTGTGGGCAAGTATAGATAAAATATTATAGAATGTTCGATAAGGGCTCTAAATTTAGCCTTTTCATCAATACTTGGTTTTTTCCTTCAAAAGTGTGGAATAAAGATGGAGCAATCATCTTATATCTGATGGAAAAAATTATCTTACTAAACGTCTGTTTTATCATATTTTGACCATCTAGTGACTCAGAAATCCCATTTATTGACAAAGAGAAGTAAAAATTTCACTAGAGAACTACCACTCTAGCATTAGAGAGCGCGCCGTCAGCCTATCATTGTGGAAGTCCGAACTGCCTGTTAGCCGGAACTGAGGTGAATGAAAAAAAATTGAGGAAATGATATTGCAGTTTCAGCAGTACAGTGATATAATATAATACAATGGCTAGCGTTTCGGAGAGTCTCACCCTCTCTCAGAGCCTAGAAAATTCAAAGTGATTTTGAATCCACTCAGTCAAACACCTCCAAAACCCAGGCAGAACTCGTAACTTTACAAGCCGGATATTTCCCACTATCTGAAATGAGTGAAATTTTTGTTTCAAACACTTCGTCGATTAAATCTTCAGTCGAGTCAATTTTTAATTCGAATAGAATACAAGGTCGTTTTTGATTAGGAAGTGAACGAATGATAAATCAATTTCTTTCGCTAGATAAGAAATTTTTTTTGGTAGTGTTAGTAACCTATGCGAAAGCTGAGACTTGAGATTACAGCCGCACATCGCCTTTTGTCAAGGAACCTCTTTATAATACTGCAACATTCAAAATAAAATCATGTTTCATAGGACCGCGTGCTTTTCCCTCTTATCTCGCTTACATTTCGCTGGACCAAAACTTCTTGGCGTGCTAATACTCAAACCATAGCACAAGCTTCAAAAAACTCAAAAATGTGTTTGCCTTTTGAAGAGCTCTTTTGATCTCCTAGTTCGATTTCCTAACTTGACCTATGGGACGGCATCATTTCACCGATTCATACGAATATTGATAAGAGGGTACGTTCACGCTTTGAAAAAGGCAGGGTTTCCGAAACGTCGATCAACGAGCTACACTATTACCACTGCTGATATACTACCACGATTGCCAAACTCACGTCGGATAAAAAGTTTAGTCAATGATATATATATACATAGACTTTGATGCTGAGGTTAATAGAAAGTGTGTCCTTCGAATTGACTGAGCATTAAAACCACCTAGCGACTGAAGTACATCACATCCCAACACAAGTAAAAAGCACCTTTCGCATACTAGAAAATGTCCCCAATAATGAACAAAATTAAATGATATTTGCGATCATTTGGCAAAACTTCTAGGTTTGACACTGACGTTGCAATAATGCATTATTTGAATAAGATGTTAATGGAAGTAGAAGAAAACGTCACGATAGAGTTACATGAAGATCACAATTTGAATATGAACCGTAACTGCTTTTACAATGCAGCAAAAGCTATGACTTAGAAACAAACGCAAATGAGATATGGAAACTCATCCAAAGTCGAAGTTTGAATGGTTAGTTGGCTTAACATCAGAGTCATCCAGCAATACGACAAGATTGACGTATCTGCACTTTTTTAACTCAATACCAACTTATATTAGTCCAATCCCAAGCACAGACCGCCGGTATAGGTGAAACGCAGCTTCATCTCCAATCTGAGGTCGAATTTTTCCTTACCACTCGATTCTCTCAAATGTACTTTGATATTGACTTTTGCATATTATTTATATTTACATTATTATGTATATTATTTATATTTATTTATATATATGATGTATGTGACTTTCTTAGCTTTTGAGGCTTCATCTCATCGGAGGTACAAAGATAGTCCAGCTGTCACAAGAAAAGCGCAACTCTAAATCATCAGTGACTATGGAGTCGCAAGAATGCAAAAGTCAGAAGAAACATGTCATGTATTGTCTAATG